GGAAAAATGAGTCTCTCTGATTGGTTGTCAAGACGCGTCGAGCGGCTAAAAGTTCAGATTTTTTAACTCGGGCGGCGGCGGCTTCTGCAGMACCGCATGCGCGAAAAATGCTCAGCCGCCACTTCCGCTTTCCTTGCACGCCGCCCAAAATGTACGTGATGCGACGCATGACCCCTGGAGGCACGTCCGCCATTGACTTTGCACGTAAACTGGCTGCTCCTGCAGCTCAAAACACGTTCGGTGTGAATTAAAGAGGAGCTAAAGTTAGAATAAGGAGGAATTCAGAGCAAAGCTTTGTAGTTCCTCTTTATAAAGACCCATCTGAAGGATTTAAAGTGCCTGTGATGTCAAATTTTTGTAATAAATATGAATGCATTTTTAGAAAGAGGACATTAATAAAATATTGCAAAAGAAATTTCATGTCGCTGAGAYGAACAGCTGTTGAGATATTTGCCTGTGAAKTAACAGGAAGTGATGTCAGAGGGGAAWGTCTGCATGTGAACAGAGGGTTGTTACAACAGCTAACAACAGACTGTAGAGAAGAATCTGACGTTTCTTKAGATTATTTTGAGTCTCTATCAGAGAGATGAAGAGTCAGAGTTCAAATAATAATGTTTCAGTAAAAAAAGAGTTTTCTTTGTTAAAGAGTTCCCCTTTGATGTCACTTCCTGTTTCCCTTCAGCTGAGCCAAGTTCAAAAGAAAATATGGCAATTATGGAACAAAATGGGTAAAATTGTGTGTATTATTCCAAGTTACTTAAATATAAAGAAGTTTTCTTTGACTTTTTGTAATTGAAGTATATGCATTTCACAGACACTTTAACACAATCGAATGGTTTTCTTTTTTAAACAAATTAAAACTTTTCTACAGAATTCAGTGTCTGCAATCAGATTGTGTAATAATTAAATTAAATTAACTGTAAATGGATTCAAATCCAACACGAACGGACTYGTTATTTTTGCCCTGAGATGACTTTTGTTGTGAAGTGGCACAAAACAAACAAACTGAATGAAACTGATCTGAAGACGAAGGAAATGTTGTGAAACTTCAGCCGACCTCGCGGACCGTTTCTCCGAYGGTTCTCCACCCAGACGTTTATTTTTACAGCTCCTCCACCTCGGCCCAGTTAGTCACCGTTCACTCACTTCCTACTCATGACAGCAACTGTCATGTTGAAAACTCTTACACAATAAACATCCWCAGATCCTCTAAAGCCAGGGATGGAAATTAAATTCTGCAAACACAAAGAAAAACCAYTGAAGGTGTGACGTTTGTTGAAGGAATGCATATCGCCCACGAGCTTTTTACACAAATATTAACTGAAGATCATCTTAAACTGAGAATCAATGGAGTTACGATCTTTTACACAAACTTTTTAAATTRTATCATGTGATTCTGTTGGATCGATCACTCAGCTGCAACAAACTTCAGCTTAATGCCAACAAATCTAATTAAGCTGCAGCTGTTTCTGTGTTCATGGTCCTGTCTGAGTTCATGACAGAAACTTTCACAATAAARCGTTCAAACACAGCGGGTGAAACTCTGACTATCAATGTTTATTTTTAGCCGACCCTCCTCTGACCACTTCACCTCCGCTGACAGGTCAGGAATCTGTCAGAGCCCGACCACATGTTTCCAGTCAGCTCCCAGGCCCGAGCCACGTTAAAACATCTGTGTTAGCCGGCGTGTCGCCACACGCGCACGTTATAAAGACGTCGGCCCGGTTCAGAGATGTTCTGCAGCTGTCAACAGGTCGCAGCAAGCGCTCTTTACAATGCAGCCCAGCTGGTTTTCACACAAACCCCAATTAGACAGCAGCGACTGGAAACGGTTCATTTGGTGTGGCTAAACCCACACACACACACACACACACACACACACACACACACACACACACACACTACAACCTGCAGAAACTCCTCGAGTGTGTTTCTCCTCATCTCCTAAATCAGCCTTCATCAACAGTTTTTACAGGTTTTGCAAAGATTTTCAGCCCGTTCTTCAATCAGAGCATTTACAGAAGAAAGGTTTTACTTATAAAGTCATTTATTTCTCATATTTAGATCATTAAAATGTTAAAAAAGGCAACTAAAGTCAAGAAATTAGGATTTTATGTAGATTGTTGTCAGAAAATTTGGACACATTTGACAACAAGTCAGTGGATGAAATCAAATCATCAAAAAGATTTGTTTCCAACGTTTGGGTCGGGACGCCTCCGCTGCTCAGAAAACATCTCAAATTTAGAAACAATTCGATTAATTAATCAGCTGGTGAATTTTATTTTTGCAAATATTGTCTTCATCATAAACATACTTTATTCATAACCTTAAATAAAATAGTTATGTTATGAATTTGTTCATGTCTGTAAATATAATGCTGCAGCAG